GTCTAAACGAACCATATTTATTTTTTAAGTGATGTACAACAATGGGATCACAATGAACTCCGAGTAGTAAGATAATTTGTTTTTAAAATAGGCGAAGTAGTTTCTTAACACATGATATATATGTCAAAAAAGCACATCCATTTAATCTCTACATATATAGGTGAAAACATTTATGGTAAGGATAACTGAACTCGTGGTCGTTTTAACGCTGCCCAAGCTGTAGCCATTCCAACAACGCTTATTTTATCCGTGATATCTTTTTCCAAGCCTTTATTAATATAGCTCATCCAATCGTTCGTCATTCATTGTTGATCTGCAGAGTGTTTAACAAGTTTTAGTTTGTAATAGCATAGTTGCGCTCCCATTTAAAAATGGACAAACATATAATATAATAACATTTAATATCCATCTTTGGTTAGAAAAGTACAATGGATTTACAAGAAGTGCTAAGATTAAAATTGATAAGAAGAAATTTTACTATTATTTATATCAATGTTGCTAAAAATGTTTATACTAGTTATATATTCTATAGGATATCTATAGATATAATTTTATAGATATAATTTTGAGAGAATATCAATCAAATGAAGCTGAGTAGACTATGAAAAGCACCGACAAGAGGCACCAGAGTTTTGGACCAAATACTAACGAACATGTCAGATTTATATAAAGAAGTGGTGCACCTCCCTCCAGTTGGTCACTCTGACCATCAATGTTTGTTGTATAGTCCCGAAATAATACAAACCGTGAGGCCTTCTACTCGAAAAGTGTGCCTAACGAAACCATGTAACCTAAATGCACTCGGACTAAAATTAAACCTTGAGGACTGGAAATCAATATTTGAGGCTCGAGATATCAATAACAAAGTTAGTCTTTTTACAAATACTATATTAGATAAAACAATACCTGTAACCACGATACGTACCCATGCGTCTGACAAACCATGGATGACGGCTTATATAAAAAAGAGATTAAAGCGAGGCAACAAGCCTATACTACTGGAAACATGACCAAATATAGACAATTGGCTGAAAGGGTCATTACACTTATCAAGAAAGCTAAAGCAGAATTTTATTCATCTATGGTTAAAAGCAAACGCAAACACGATGCAGCAAAGTGGCATAGAACGATATCCCAGTTTGCTGGCTTTGAAGGTGACAATCTAAACAACAACTTAATCTCACACGGCACTCCCGATACGGTAGAAATACGGCAGAATATATTTACTAAACCATGGTCAAAACTTCCTGAAACCATAATCCCTAGTCTTGAAGACGTAGCGTCATCACATCAATCCACCAAGAGAGATCGTGAATGACTTTCGCCAGATATCCATTCTTCCCCAAATGGCTAAAGTGCTGGAAAAGCTGCAGCTCAAACTGAACCTTCCCAGTTCACGTATAAATGATATCAGCATGCCTTTACAAGCA